TACTGTTTTCAACCAATGGAACGGATTTCTGTTCACTGATCACGATCAACAATGAAGAAAACATTATTGATTCTTCTACGTTTCTTTTCAGTTCTATTACAGAGTTTATCTACGTTTTATTATAGTTGTTTCTTCATGATACATCTCAAAGTTCAATGAAAACTTTGGAAGTTTCAGACGGATTGCAAATATGGTAGGTCTTAGCTTGGTATCGTTTTCCAAAGATTTGTCTTCAGAATATGGTACCAAATACCAGATCTTGCCACGTGGAAGTGGCTACGTGTCGAAATCTTGACAAACCACTGTCAGCACCCGTAACAAAGATACGCTTGTTTAACTTGGAGCTAAGGAAATTAAAATAACTACATTTTATTAAATCTCGTATCTTATAAAAGGGACTTCGATTCGGTATACTAATTTCTAATATTCTACTGACGCGTCGCTAAAATATTTCGGAGTTTCCACAAAATTTGGGAACGAAGAAAAATATGAAAAGCTGGAGCAAAGGAAGACTATGATCCATATGACGAAGCGCGAACAAAGATAGTTTTGATTAACGAAATCAACATTTCAGTCCATGATTTCTATCGAGATTTAAGTACATATTTACTTTGAAATGAAAAATCACGTGTAATTGCAGCTTGTAAGTACCAGCTTTAAATCTCGTTGCCGTTAGTGTAATGTATGCTAAATACTATTTAATTAAGACTCGGATTAAACCGTAACTGTAATTTACCTTTGAGTTAAAATGTAAAAGCATCTAGTTTGCACGTATTGCTAGGCTCACACGTGAGAGAAGTCGTAAATGAGCTGTACGAGAAGTAAAACTGTTAAATGCATTATTTATTTAACGATCAAGGTTCGGAGATAACGATGCGTGGAAAACATCTCGCCAGACATTTCTATGGGTGAAAATAAGAGTCATGTAAATTGGATTTTAATGTGCCCTAGATTAAATTGTTTTATCGTTTTTTTTTTTCAAATTCGTTCAACTTGCATTTAAGCAGATCTCACTTGGCTAAATAACATCGCGAAGCATTTATGAATAAATTTACCCATGCATCGAGTCTCATTGAGCAATCGGAGTAATTTGAAATCAACTTTCACGTCAAGTTCGAAATTAATTTAAACGGTTCGTCTTATCTAGATTATACTAGATCATCCTTGCTACAGCGATCTAATGTAATTGATTGATCTAACACACGTTTGATTTAATTACTTGGCACTGTTTAGTACAATGGAGAAAAATATAGTTCTTTTCCCTAACTGTCCAATTAACGCAAAATAAACGTAGGGGTGGTACGATGAAGCGTCTACATCTGAGATAAAATTTGTTAATTTGCAAAATATTTCTCCGCAAAAATAATGGTTTAGGTAGTTGTGGGGAAAGGATTTTTTTAATTCGTGAGAGGAATAGCACGTATTTATATCTTTTAATTACTAGCTTCCGAATCGAAAGGTATAATAATAAAATGAATTATATTCTAATTTAAATTTCATAGCGTGTATTTGTATTTTGCTTGTTTATTTCTTGTGCTTCTGTATTTAGGGAAAATGTGCTTTTTCCTATTTTTGTATTTCTTTTTATCAAATAGAATTTTAAATCTTTAACTCGCTTGATAGTCTTCGGTTACACAATGTTCTCTAGCTTATGTGCTTAAACATATCTGGTTTGTCAAGATAAATAGTAAATTAGGGATATAACATCATTATAAGCATATCTGTGGGAACAGACAAATAAACTGCATTTCTATTTATTCTTTTGTTCACAGCAATTTCTGTATCTTATTATCTAAGATAATCAATTGAATAATGTAAATTAATACACTAAAAGATAAAAATCAATTAGAGAATGTTGTGAGGGAAACGCAGATTAACGTGTCTCTTTATTTCCACAATTTTCTTCGAGTATGTGTATTAACTTTCTCCTGTCGTCATAAACCTCTTTGTGTTCTTCTAATTAGTCAAAGTCTCGTCCATTCCTCTGTGATTAGCTAAAATGTGTTTAGGTTATACATATTTATATTAACACTGATTATATTTACATATTCGTCGAGTATATAAACTTACCGGGAGAATGTTTTTGGTATACCCATTGCTTGATTCTGTGGCATTATCGTAATTTCGGTAATCTACAAACATTATTCACATGAATGTCGAAATATAACAGTGTCAGTATACGTAACAAACGGATGTTCACGTTAGTTTCTACTAGTAATAACTTTTCTGTACTCTTAGTATATTTCGTAGTGTGTTGTTTCACCATCGGTTAGTAGCAATTAATTTATTTGAATTTTTAAAAAATGGGAAATTTAAAGAATTCCCGGCCACCGATTCAAAATCATATTTTCACAATAACTAAAAGTCTCTTTTAGTAATCAGACATCTTGCATTAGTATTGTAGTAGGATTTTTCTGTATAATTTTGTCGGAAATTGATCTGGCGTCGATTTAGGAGAAATTTTAGTTTCTGAAACAATTTTTAAAATGATTTAATCTTACCTCCACACCTTCAGGTGTACCCAAGGTGTAAACGACTGTGTTGGCGACGTCTATGTCTCGTAACATTGGGACAGAGTTGGTGTCTATATTTGGCAATGCATTTCTTATCATGTCGGTGTCTACAGCACCAGGACTGATGTTCTGTAGAAATATAAAACCAAAAAGTTCCACAATGTATTGTTTCATTTTTTAAATTGTCGGTGTTAAATGCAGATAGGTATAATTACACGGATTGAATAACTCGGATAATTAAGTCTATGAGATATTAAGCTCAGATTTCTGAAAGGAAGTCTCGAATCTCGTGTAATACTATTACTGGTATGAGGGAGCTGTGGTAATTTTTTATCGGTGTAATTTCTCCTCAGAGATGCTTAATCTGATATTTTACTAAATTTTTAAACAATTTCAATAATATTTCGTTTCTTTTTTTTTGTAGAAATTTTTAGAGGATGTTTAGAAGTTGTTCGTAAACTGAATATAGGAGTTTAATTCTCTCTATAGTAAATATTTCCTCATATACTATTGCATATTTAATACTTTCTACATTTAAGATCAAATAATTGAACCTACTTATACTTAATGCTTTCTCATTATCGTTGAGATATCTAATCATAAAACCAACAGTTTAAAATAGGTTTCGGAGCTGATAAACGCGGGTGTATTGTAAAGCGTGATTTCTTACCGTGACTTTGATGTTCAATTGAGCCGTAATTATTTCATGTCGAAGTTCCGTACCCAGAGCTCTGAGGCCGTATTTACTTGGACAATACATGCCGAGTGGTATGAATATACTTTCAGCGAATTGTCCAGCTATGCTATAAATCATGCAATCATAAAGATCGTATCGAGACACGAGTGAAGAAATCGCACAGGTGAATATTATTTGATGTTGATATTTCTGCTAAGAAGCATACATAAATATCGTAAACGTCGTTGAAGTTGTGGAATAATTATGGAATACTTCGATTGATTCTGAAGAAATTTAGGTGTTTAATTATTCCAATCTGTATTCGTGAATATTCAGGAAGGTAGTGTACGATTTAAAAAAATTAGGGAATGAATGAAGATGGAAATCTTTCGATATTTTAATGTACGAAATATAAATGAATCGAAAAAATTGCAGTTTTGAAATGATCTATTCTTGTTTATCTTTATTTCCAGAAATGTTTAATTGTTAGGTATAGCGGAGGCGTTTAAGTCTTTGTATACTTCTGTGTTTTTAAATGTCAGTTCCTAATAATTTAACTCGGATGTATAAGATCGTCCTCCACTTTTTAATAAAAAATGATATTACATATGGAAATAGATGAAACAGCAATGTGAAAATAGTAATTAGAAGTACTCGTTGTTTAGTTAATAGACAGTAAGAGAAGTAATACAAGGTCGCGAAATGAAACGATGTTGCACTATAATTTTGTATTTTAATGCATAAATTACGTACCTGTTAATGTTGACTATGTGACCGGCTGCGTTATGTTTCTTCATGGAGAGTATGGCTTCTCGTGCAAAAATTGTCGGAGCTATCAGGTTGGTATCTATAACTTTACGGTATTCTTCGGTATTTGATTCTACAACAGAAGATTCGAGATTCATTTTGTCGCCTCTTCTTCCTCCGCAGAATTTCATGAGATTCTTACGCAATGAGATACTATGAAGAAGTTAAAGGTTTCAACTTTAGCTTTTATTTTCATTATTGTTGGAAATACTCGAAATCATTTGATAGTTTCAGGATAATTAGAGTATCGAGTAAGTTAACTTGAGGTCATGGAACTTTGATTTGGAAAATCATTCAGTATTCTTTATGTAATGGCGCCGATTTTCGGTCGTAAGGAAAGAATGCAGGTTGCTGTACGTATAACCGTTGGGTTAAAAATGAAGGCCATCGTGATCACGGTCGATGACCGCAGCAGAACAACTTCAGTGACTATACTGTGTGTTTGATGCCCACGTATGTGTGTAAAGCGTTACGAAAAAGTGTACAATTCACGAGACAAGTAATTTAAAGTTGCAAGCTAATTTTTGTTTCTTCTTTAACATTTAATTTTTCTTCGTTACAATGAATCTTCGTTTTCAATGGAATATAGTGTGAAAACAGAGAGAATAGAAGTTACGTGAGAAATTATGACTCAGTGGTAGCATGATAGTGCAAATGCTTGGTATAAATTCTTCAAAATGTGATTACGATTCGCGAATTTAACACATAAGGTCTCGTTCAGAATATTAAATGGAATAAAAATATATTTCGCTATCTACTCAATCATGTTCATAGAGAGGCTAAATATTTTTTCTCATGAATATTTTTATTTTGCAGGATATAAAAATGACCAACAGCATGACTTGCATAGATTAGTTCCGTTAATTTGGAATCGTTCATTTTTCACACTAAACAGTTCCCATTTAATATTCGAATTTAAAACTAGCCAAACCGGTCAATATAACTGGTTCTTGATTTTTGATTTTATCTTTTATTGAGGATACCAAACGCATAAAGACTATATAGCTGAACGAAAAAATTTACTTATAAAATCCAATATATGTATTTCCAGAGTAACTTAATTCAGCCAGAAACTACTCAGCGTAATAGGAAGCACGTACAGTAATTTATATCATGCGTTCAGATTACCCTCTGCAATTTGCTCCCTAGCCAGAAAGAGAACGAAACAAGATAGAAAATGACACGTATGCTTTATGAGTACTGTAAAAATCGACATCGACAATTTTACCAATGACAGGATTGAGAGTGTTGATTCCAGCGTTGTTAATCAAAATGCTAACGCCACCGAGCTCCTTTTCCACCCATTTGAACGCCTTCAGGATGTCTCCTTCCTTCGTGATATCGCATTCGATCGGGTAAAACTTGTTCTTGCCGATTTCCGCGGTAAGCTCCTGAAGCTTTGGCAATCGTCTCGCCAGGCCGACCACTGTTATTCCTTGGCTGGCCAAAGATTTCGCTACCGCGGCACCGATACCGCCACTCGCGCCGGTTATTATCGCTACTTTTCCGCTCCAACGATTCATCTTGTGCTGTGTCGAATCACGAACTGACTCTGCACACGCTACCTCCCGTTGTTTTATATGGGTAACTTCAGGCTTCGTCATGCGTTTATATATCAATTAGTGGCATGGCACAGCATATCTTAGAGATGATATCCATGAACAGTTTCTTATCACGAATAGGCCTAGTAGCCTTCGTCAATCATAGTATGGTCTGTTGAGTAATTAGAAATTTCATGGTCGTAAAGTTGATCATGTAACGACGCTCGAGTTCTTACGTATTTCGATAGACATGGCTTGTTTAATCGTATGTGAAGATCGTAAGACGTGGAATTAAGAGTGACTTTTTTAATTTCTTGTGCCGAGGTATTTGATTCATGATGGGTTTTTTGTATTTAATCCGAAAGTTTATATTTCATTTTACGGTGTCTATCAAGTCGGGAATTGATCTGTTAATATGTCGTGAAATTAATTATGGGTCTATAGTTGAACGAGGAATGGGAACAGTTCGATGATGTATTAATGTTTATTTTTTCCATAAGTTTACTAATGCGATAAAAAGATGCAAATACTGTTCTTTTTCTTTCCTTTTTGTTATTGAATGCTCTCTTTTTATTTTTTTTACTTTGTTGATTAGAATTAAGTAAAATTGAGTAGAATTGAGTAGAATTATAGGTGAATCATTACATTGTGTTGGGCAAGAATTAGGCTGATCGTTGTAAATAATTTTCAAATGTTTGTACCGACTACTGCAAATATTTTCTAGTCATGTGATTGGTCAATCAAGTCGTAGTAGGTACATATTGTAATATATAATAATGAAGATACATATTGAAAAATTGACTTTATATATATGTACGCATATTCTAAAAATTGTGTCATAATTAAAATCCACAATTAGAGATCAATTAGCTTGTCTATGAAGAATTACTGATCTCACTGTCAGTTAAGTGTGGTTTGTGAAAAAGTGAAGTCATGTTATGAAGTGCATCTTAGGCGTGAATTTTCTGTGTTCGAGTGTCTTCATAGGTTGATTAATAATAGCTTGAGAAGGTGAAGGAAATTGAAACTGTATGAGTTGTATACATTGTAGCTTCCATGAAATAGAAAATTAAAACGTCATGTAACATTAATTGACTTCCATTGCCTTGTAAAATTGCGCAAATATTCTACGTATTTCCGCAGGAGTTGGATTGGACAGTGAAAGAAATATTTTCCGTTGCCTTTTATGAGGTTTATATTTTTCATATCCTTTGGTTTCTATGAATTCGTTCATGACCAAATTTTGGTATCGCTTTTTGCATTACTATAAATGAAAAAAGAAACCTGTATGGCCAGAGATCCGGAATATTTTTCTTTCGAGATATGAACATTTTTATTTCTCTAGAGTGTTGATTACGTTATCGAACGTGTAGATAGATTCGCTATATATAGCTGATTTCAATGTCAGGATGATTTGTTGCATCATAAGTATAGTTGATGGAACCTCTATAGTGTAGTCGTAAATTGAAGCATTAAGTAGCATCACCCACTGATGTAACCATACCCAGATCCACGCAATAGAAGCGCTGTGAATCTCAGATGCAAAGGTAACTTGCGAATTAACGTATAATCTTTTTTAAAATTATATAATACCAAGTGGCTTCTTGTTCGATAATACCTAATATGTCGAAAAATAATCTGCTATCAAATTGCTATCAACCATTAGGCTCGTGGAATAGATACAAAGAGATCCAGATTTTTGAATTGGATAGAAAGAGACAATGTGAGGAAATTTCTGCTTATATTCTTACATTTTGATAATTGCTCGTATTATTTCAACCTATGTTGGATTTTTGTTTTCATTCTCGGTATAAAAATCATACTTGTCGTAACATTCTTCTATTATCAGAATACGATGACATGCAGAATTATGAACCTGTAATCTCGTGTAACATTGTGCAATATCGATTGTATGTGTTACGAAATAAAATACATGTATTCTGTTTTCTGGAGGAAGAATTTTTACCATTTTTATTCTTAGGAGAAGCAGAATGCAATTTCGAGTACCCTTATTCTGAGTGCACACTGTACAGGATATTTTCAGAGAAATGGAAAAAATTGTTTCCCTATCTGTAGTTTTCGTATGTTCAGATTGCATGCTGTTTTGTCAATTGGTCTTGTTTGATGACGGTTTAGTTACGTACGAATCCAAAAGTGAAGTGTGTGGTTCTTGAAGTATCTAGTGGACTGTATTTTTGAGTGGAATGTATAATAGACAACGGCTTGATGTTGAGGGAATGCGTGTTGTGTTGGAGAGTTGATTTCGATTCTATGTAAGCTCTGCGGAAATCGACTTGTTTCTATCTCGTCTGTCTTGTGTTTCTTGCGATAATGTTACAAAGTCTGGAGTTCATAAGAATTATCTTTAGGGTTCTAGTGTGTTTGGGTAAATGGTGGGAATTGCAAACAGTTTTCTGGTAGCGAGAATTATTGCATTGCAAAACTATTGCTGTGTGCACGAGATCTGCAATATTATATTTTTCATTCTAGAATAATTACACCGATGAAACTGTACCAACTTGACGGGATAACATTCGAAATTAATTTAAACCCACATTTAATTTCTCAGAACCATCTAATAAAATCGAGAAACATATAGTCCTCCTTTCAACTCTGAGATTAAAGCAAAATTAACGCAGAGGCGATACGATGAAGCGTCTAGATCTGAGATAAAATTTGTTAATCTGCAAAATATTTCTTCGCAAAAATAATGGTTTTAGAGCAAAGCTGTAGGGA